AAAATTGCCACGAGACTTCTTAATAATTACAAAATTGTCACCGTACAACTTTAGACCATTAGATCATTAACTTATAAAGTTGATCAATGAACATAAATTGGTCTTACGGGTTTCACTAAAAACTTTTGGTCTCACGTGAACCCAACCCTATATATATATAATTTAAAATAATATATATATATATATATATATATATATATGTATATATAATATAATACAATAAGATATGTTATGGATTGAATTTGATATTTGATAAAAATCAAAGTGATCATTCTAACACCTCCTATTAACGGCACCTACGTAAGCAACGTAATTGTGAGTGGTGACCAAAATAAGGTTTGACGTGACAAGAGATGGCCACATATTGCATACATTAAATACGCACGTTTCTTCTTTCTTATCTTTTATTGTTATATTTTCACATTTTTGGAAATCATATAAGAAGTTAAATATCTAAATGTTAAAATTAAAAGTACATTATTTAATAAAAACTAGTAAATGCTATAATAAAATAATTATGAAAATACAAAGTTGTAATAAGAAAGTCTCATCACTATAGTACATGTGGACAGCCTACGTAGAAAATGAGGTGGTATGGAAACCTAGTATAATGGGTAAATTTAAATCAAAAAGTTACCCAATGCTATAATGGGTAAATTTTTCAGAGTACAATGTTATAATAAAAAATAGTTTGAAAGTACAATGCTATAATAAAAAAAATTATGAAAGTATATTGTTATTTTGTGCATTTTGCCCTTAAAATAAAGGGAACTAAAAGTAAAACGACCAGCAAATTAAAGTGGGTTGTTGCTAGGCATGGGAATGGGCCCCGACCTGTCGGGGAACCCGGTCCACCTGCCCCGATTGGGGACGGGGATTCCCCTTTAAATCAGGGACGGGGGATCCCCGTTTGTCTCAAACCGGGGATGGGGACGGGGACGGGTATGGTACTCCCCGCCCCGTACCCTACCCATTATATATATATATATATATTATTTATTTCAACTAAAGCGGTAGTTCATAATTATTTATTTCCTAATTAGGTTTATAATTTAAAATTGTTATTTTCTGGATGTTAATATGTAATATTTTGGATGTCAAGTCAAAATGCAATTAATCGATAAGTTTTGTATATTACTCGATATGGTTTTATATTACTCAATATCTTTTGATACATGTGACTTTAAGTTTTTTTGGATTTAATTGAATTTTTTTTTTTGTTTTAGGTTATTAGTTCTTATATGATGTTGTGGTTTTTTTTATTAAATTAAATTCATTTTGGTTTTAGTTTATTGAAAATGTTTGAGATTTAAATATATTGGTCTCTTACATATTTAATTTAAAATAAATAATATAAACGGGAAAAAATCGTTTCCCCATTAGGGATGAGGATATGATTATATTCCCTGACGGGGATAAAGATAAATAATCGGAGACGGGGATGAAGACGAGGACTGAGGTCCCCGCCCCATTCCCATACATAACTGCTGCAGCTTCTATAAAGCCCACGATGGCAAGTCTCGTTTGCAAATTGCAATTGTTTATTTAACATAAATTGATTATTTGACAAACATTTAATTAGTTGTTGTGTAAAGTTATTAAATATTTCATCACAATTTGTAACGTATTCTCAAATGATTTTGATTACAAAAGCTATGATTTCTAGTTATAAATATTTTGAAGGAAAAACAATTTTGAATATTTTTAAGTTGTTTTTTTTTTACTATTTACACAACTTAGGAAATTTGTAATCATATATATATATATATATATATATATACTTAGATCATGTGAGATCAAAGGTTTTTCGTGAGACCTGTAAGACCAATTCTCAACCATTGGATTAGATCTACAAGCTGAACATTCATAATCACAAAATTGCCACGAGAATTCTTAATAATCACAAAATTGCCACGAGAATTCTTAATAATTACAAAATTGTCACCGTACAACTTTAAACCATTAGATCATTAGTTTATAAAGTTGATCAATGAACATAAATTGATCTTACCGGTCTCACAAAAAACCCTCGGTCTCACGTGAACACAACCCTATATATATATATATATATATATATATATATATATATAGAGGAGCGATCAAATGAAAACCACTCCAATTTGTAAAAACCGTAAAAACTACTCTCATTCGTCGATTTCATTGTTTAATTTTATGAAATTTTTTCATGAAATTGTTTAATCTTGTGAAATTGTTTCATATAATACTTTTTTTGATGAAGTTGTTTCATATATGGTTATGAAATTGTTTCATATACTACTTAATGAAACTGTTTCATGTATTTCTCTAAAGTTAATGAAACTGTTTCATGTATTTCTCTAAAATTAAAATAATGAAGATGATAATATCCATGATTAACATCATCCACAATAAAAATGATTAATCAACCTCTCATAATTACAAAAAAATGAACAAAATGAAAAATTATGATTAGTTGAATGAAGTTTGTATGGTTTGTACAAATTAGGTGGTTTTTATTTGAACGCTATATAGAGGTAATGTTTGTTTGTGATATTCAATCTCAACCGTAAATCAAATGATAAATTAGGAAATTAAAGATTTTGATAATATGATTTAAAATTTTATTGGTTCATGGATTGACCAATAGTTAATGAAAATAGTTAGAAATTTGATCTGATATGTGTAGAATGGAGTAGAGATGGCCAAAAACCGGTCCCGGTCCCAATCGGTCCTAACTTTTCTCATAACCGGTCCCGGTCGAAAATGATAGGACCGATCAAGGTACCTCATAACCGGTTATGGGCCGCCGGTTAGGGTCCCAACCGGTCCTTGGATTAAAAAATAAGATTTTTTTGATTTTTTTAATGATATATATTTTTAATACATTATAAAATTTACAATTGGGTCACTCAAACACTTTAAAAATGCGTTTTAATATAATTAAAATTACTTTCTTATAAAAATACATTATAAAATTATTTAAAAATACATTTATTTATAAAATTATTTGAATTTTCGGGTCGGGCCGGGCCGGTCCATAGTCAGTCCCATAACCGGTCCTGGTCGGTCCCGGTCCCACGAAACTACCAAAAACCTCAACCGTTCTCGGTTTTCGGTCCCAAAACCGGTCCTTACCGGTCCGGGCCAGTCCTTTGTCGGTCCCCGTCCCGGTCCTCCGGCGGTCCCGAGCCGGCCCGGGCCGATTTGGCCATCTCTAGAATGGAGTATTCAAGGAAACCAACTAAACTTATATCGATTCGAGCCATATGAAGCCCAATTACATAACAAAAAGCCCAAACAATTACATATTTATTCCATGCCATTTCCTTGAAATAAAACGATATTTATTACAACCATGGCGAATCATAAATGGGAGTGACAACGGCTTTCGTTTTTATATACTTTTGTAGGGCTTCCATGCCGTGATCTTTTCCGAACCCGCTCATTTTGTATCCTCCGATCGGGCATCCTGAATCGAAATTATGGTAACAGTTTATCCAAACGATACCAGCCCGAATCGATCTCGACACCCTATTTGCTATGTTCAAGTCATTCGTCACAATCCCAGCCGCTAGACCATATGACGTTGCATTCCCTCTCTTTATCACTTCTTCAACCGTTCTACAATTATTATTCCAAACTATTTATTTTCAAAATTTGAATTTACAAATTAGATATTACTGTATAACTTAAAAATTAGACTTACTTGAACTTCATGACAGCCATTACCGGACCGAAGATTTCATCCCTTGCGATAAGCGAATCATCCTGGTTAAAAACGAAAGAGAATTAACAAATATGCGACTTCAGTATCTGAAACGTTTTGTTTGACACATACCGCTACATTTTCAAAGATTGTTGGCTCTATAAAATATCCCTCGTCTCCGCAAGGCTTACCACCGATTAGCAACGTTGCACCTTCTCTCTTTCCATGATCAATGTACGAAAGCACCCTCTCGTATTGTTTCTTATCAACCTATGAAAAAAAAGGCGGGATGTTACTTACAACGGTAATATTTCCTTTTTAGGTGAGTTTTTAATTTGTTTGTAATTACTTGTGGTCCTTGACAAGTGGAAGGATCAAACGGATCCCCGACGATCCAGGTTTTTGCCTTTTCAACCAATTTTTTCATGAGTTCATCATAAATCCCTTCTTGAACAAATACGCGCGAACTACACACACAAATTTCTCCCTACACACAAATTGTAGTTATAGATTTTAGATGAAACCGATATGAAATCTAAACTATGTGAAATAATCAAATGAAACTTGTGAAATATACCTTATTAGCAAGACTCCCAAAGAGAGCAAGATCCGCGGCTTGATCAACATCTGCATCGTCAAAGATTATGAGCGGGGATTTACCCCCAAGTTCGAGAGAGACTGTTTTCAAATTGCTTGTGGCCGAAGCCTGCATAATTCGTCGTCCAACTTCTGTTGATCCCGTGAAACTAACCTGAAAAAGAAGACCATAACGGATATAAGTATCACGAGCCAGGAACCAATCTTTTTTATAACAAGCCATCCTACATGGATAGAAAAATAGATTTGTGAGCTCTTTATAAACTTAAGGTTATAGGCTATTAATAACTTTCACCAGTTATATTATAAATTATTGGGTTAGTTACAATATTTTTTAAAGGGTTCGTTTGTAAGAACTAACAGAGTCTATATCCATGTGTGAGGCTACAGCAGCACCTGCTATATGTCCCAATCCTGTCACAACATTGAGAACACCATCTGGGATCCCTGCCTATATATTCAAAAAAACAGATAAAATGTGAGAACATCTGTTGTATCAATGTAATTTTTTAAAGTGTCATATATATATATATATATATATATATAAGCAGATTCAAACGAGAATGCTAACTATTTAAGAAAATAAAAAAAAGTCATTAATGTACAAAATCATATATGATTCGGGTGACTTTGCCCCGCAACTTAAGTGACCTCAAAAGTCGTCCGCTTCCATTTAATATAAAATCACATGTGATTTTGTACATTAACGATTTTTTTCTAGTTTTCTTAAATAGTTAGCGTTCTCCTTTGAACTTTTCTCTCTCTCTCTCTCTCTCTCTCTCTCTCTCTCTTTATATATATATATATATATATATATATATATATATATTTCTGCTTACGAGTTTAGCCAAATGGGCCAAGTAGAGAGCTGGGAGGGGTGCTTGTTCTGCAGGCTTCACGACCATCGTGCAGCCGGCGGCTAAAGCGGGTGCACATTTAAGAATAAACATGGCACTAGGGAAGTTCCATGGGATGATAAGACCAACTACGCCAATGGGTTCGAGCAAAGTATAGCCTTGAAACTCGCTAGACAATTTCAAAGTTTTTCCGTGAATTTTATCTGCGGCGCCAGCAAAATAGCGGAGTTCTTTTGATATACTAGGAATGTCGACCGTGGTCTCAAAGCTAAAAACTTTACCCGCATCAAGGGTTTCCAGTAGCGCTAGTTCCTCAATGTTTTCGTCGATTAGATCAGCGAATTTATTCATTATTTTCCCCCTCATCTGCAAATATTTGAAATTATATAATCATTGGAAAATAAAACATATTTTCGGTATTTTTGCTTCGTTATGTTATAATGAAAATTATATGAGAAAGGTGAAAGTGAAAAAAGGGAAATTACATGTCTACTTTAATTTCCATTTATAGAATTTCAAAGAAGAACGAAACAATAATGGAAGATTTAGTTCTAGAAAATTGATTCAAATAGTCATTTCATCAGTTCAAATTGATCTTTTAGCCATTTTTCTTTCGAGTTTATCAAAATGTCAATACGTTTGCAATATCCACATCCATAATATTGCGTACATGTCTAAAAAACAAAAAAAAATCAAATTCCACTAGATTAGCAAGTGGCATTGTCGCAATTGCAGACATGGATTGAATTTGATAATTTTTTTACCTTTTAGTCAGGTCCACAATATTTCGGACATGGATATTATGGTCATAGTGACATCTGGATAAATCTGACTATAAAAATAACCAAGAGACCAATTTAAATTGGTGAACTGTTTGTTTGAGTCATTTTTCTTTTGTTTTATGTGGTGGAAAATAAACCCTTCATTATATTAAATTTATAGTTTGTCATTATGACAATACAGTATTAGGAGAAAGTCAAAATCAACGAAAGTAACATTTTTTGGGTTATCAGCACCCTTAACCCTTGCTAACTACACCCCTAGCCTTATCTACAATCATTTTTTTTGTCTTATTCTTTTATTATATTCGTTACTTAAATATATGTATTACAATTAAATTAATATAATTAATTAATTATTCCTTTTTTTCTCTTTTATTACTTTTTTAATCACTATTTATATAAATAAATGCTTAATTTTTTATTATTATTTTTATGTCATTATTATAAAAACCAAACCAACTAAAACATAAAAAAGCTTATGATACTGTTGATTGACATTTCCTTCGTACCGCCCTTTTCGAGTATGGCTTCCCCCTTACCATGATAAACTGGATTATGACATGTGTTTCCACTGCTTCCTACTCGGTTAGTAATAATGGAAACCTCCATGGCTATTTCAAGGGAAGTCGTTACTTGAGGCAGGGTGACCTCCTTTCCCACTATCTCTTCCCCCTGGTCATGGAGGTTCTAAACCTCCTGACCAAAAGAAAAATCAGTGAGACGGACACCTTTAACTATCACTAGAATTGTGAGGAGCTGAAGATCACTCATCTTTGCTTTGCTGATGATCTCCTCATATTATGACTTGGTGAATGTGATTATGTCCTATCACTGGAATTGTGTCGGCTTGTTCCCCAGTCCGGCCAAAAGCGATGTATTTTATTGTAGCATCGGCGAGCACACTAAGAGTACCATTCATTCTATCATTCAGTTCCTAGTGGGTTCCCTTCCGGTCCGTTATCTCAGTGTCTCCCTTATCACGACTCGTCTTTATCACAATGACCGTAAGGGTCTCGTCAACAAACTTAAATCCTGTTTAAATGACTGGAAAATCAAATCTCTCTCATTTGCCGGTAAGTTGCAGCTCATTCTCTCGGTCCTGACCTCCATGCATATTTATTGGGCCTCGATCTTCGTTCTCCCTGTTTCCATTTCAAAGGAGATTGAGCAGCTCATGCGGAGCTTCCTGTTGTGCCATGGTGAGCTTAACAGAGGGAAAACAAAGGTCTCCTGGAAGACCGTCTGCCTTCAAAAATCTCAAGGCGAACTTGGTATTAAAAGCCTAACCAACTAGAATCTTGCCCTTATAGCCTCCCACATTCGGAGAATCCTTACCAATAAGGACTCTCTATGGGTTAAATGGATCCACTCCTACAGGCTTAAAGACCGAAATTTCTAGGATACCCCGATCCACAACGATGTTGGTTGAGGTTGGAGGAAGATCTTGGGTATGCGGGATAAGATACGAGACTTCATTGTCTCCCAAATGGGTGATGGCGCTTCCTCCTCTGCCTGGTTTGACAACTGGCATCCTGTTGGCCCCCTCTGCCAACAAATCTCTCCCCGTAATATCCTTAGCGCTAACCTCTCCCTCAACGCTTGCATTAAGGACATTATTTGTTAGGGAAGCTGGACTTGCCCCCACCTACGGGATTGTCCCAATCCCCTTATTTGTGATTCATCCCCTCCTGTCCTTTCCCCTTCTGTCCCTGATAAACTCTTCTAGAAAAAAGGGATGGTCGTCTCACTTCTTTCTCTGTCCATGAGGTCTGGCTCTCCATCCGCCCCAATGAGCCGGATGTCGGGTGGCATCCCATGGTCTAGTTCTCTTAAAACATCCCAGACGTGCTTTCGTTCTTTGGGTTGCCCTCAAGCAGTGTCTAAAGATGCATGATAAGCTTCGTTTCTGGGATGCCTATTCTAACATGTCTTGTGCTTTTTGTCTTAACGGGGCTGATTCTCATCAGCATCTATTCTTTGAGTGTCCGTTCCCTAACCTGGTTTGGAATGGCCTTAAGCCCAAACTGAACCTCCCTATTATCCTAGATAACTGGGCTGATATTATCAGTATGTTCCAGCAAGCCGCCAAAGGCAAGACTATTTGGTCTATCATTCGTCGTTTAATGCTTGCTAGAACCGTCTACCACCTCTAGCAAGAAAGGAATAATCGCACCTTCAAGAATAAGAGAAGATTTTCTGACATGGTGGTCAAGACCATCTCTAATGATGTTCGATCCAGGCTGATTGGCCTTACCATGAAGCCTTCCCCAAACGTTGTTCGTGCTAAGCTTGTCTGGAATCTTCCCTAGTGGTTGGTTCCTTCCCTCCTCCTCCCCTCCTCCTCCCCTCCTTTCTTCTCATCTCTCTTTTATGATATTTGCTCTTTTCTTGTGGCTGCTTAGGTTTAGCTTCCTCTCGTGTGTTATCATTGGTTTTGCTTCCTGTCTTTTATAAAAAATTAAAAATCAAAAAAATTTGTCTTTACTTTCTCTTTTTCTTGATTGGAGGGGCCGCCCCCTTCTATATCGAAAAAAAATGTTTTCTCTTTAATTTTTTTAAAGAATAAATGTTTGGGTAAATAAATGTTTAATTTTTTTTATTAATTTTTTATATCAGTATTTTTTACTGTTATTTTCTAATAATTATATAATATGTAATATGAAGAAAAAAAGTGAAAAATTAAGAAATGAAGAG